ATAAACTTAAAGAATTAGCAACGATGCTATATTGGCAAAGCAATATAGGTATAATTGTTTTACATGTGAAATTACGTATCTCTTTTTAACACATAATTAACATGATTTCAATGTTTCAGACTGATAGATGTTGTTGCAGAAAATACCAGGTAATTTTGTTGCTTATCATAGACGACTTTCAGGACTATGAGAACAACATAATGATTTAAATACTATAGTAAAACCTCATACGAAATAAAACAGTAGTTTAGTCCTATCAATGCAATTTATTATAATTCATAAACATAATTAAAATATGAGTTGCATGTCAAATATAATAACAAAAAACGTGTCTTTAAGAATAAAATAAACTTGCCAAAAAGAATAGGACTTAAAAAAATAAAAGATCCATAAAACTTTGTGGCATCTTTTAAATGTAGAAAAGCAAAAACTGGCATTCATAGCAGCAATTCATAAATTGGTGCGTTTGATGTGAGATTTGTTGATTATCTAAAACAGACAATGTATCTTATTTTATATATATTATATACGTATATGTAAAAAACGCACAAAAACAGATACATTCTTTTTACAGAACAATTACAATACCTTTTACAGCATGTCCCCCGAATTATGATATCTAGCGAAGGTTTCTTCAACCAACAATAGAAATACCTCAGCGTACACCTAAGACGAAAGCAGCGATCTGATCGACTGTCACTCATTGTATTTAAACTTGGTGTCAACGGATATAACGCGCTTAACTTGATGAAGAATAAGCTTCTTTCCAAATTTTTTCTCAAGAAATCGCTTCCTCGGACAGAGCATCGCTGTCACTGCTGTTGAATTCTGAGGACGTGTTGATGAAAACGACATAATCTGCGCCTTTTCTCTAAAATAAAGTAAAATATTGACGCGCGATTGTCGAATAAATTAATAGTAAATACATAGGAATATCTTTTACCGGGGTTGTACAAGGTAATAAAGAGTGGCTGGCAACCAATTTTTAAATCAAGCAGTAGGTTTCGAGGAAAATAATTCTGAATACGCGAACGACACGCGTATACTTAACTATTATATCTACATACTATTAACCTACATACGTGCGAACTTCCACCGCGCGGCAAGCATTACCGCGTCCTGTGTGCAGGAACCATAACTTCGGACGTGGAGTTGGCTTTCGGCCGCCGTCTGGTGTGCATCGCGTGTAGTTGCCTCTCACCTTTTTCGTTTGGGAGATCTACCTTTTTGTGTTTTTCTTTCGGACTTTTTATTTGAATACTGGTTTTCGACCTGGCTTTGTCTCTGGAATTGTTTGATTTCTGTTCTCTTATTCTTTTGTGATGATTGATTTAATCCGTTTCTTTCACTTTCGCATTTCTGCGCACTCTTTGTCTATCGTGCACATGGTGCTCACATGATTCGGTTTTTGGCTTAAACTCGGTCTGTGCTTTTTTTGTGTACTTAGTATCACCTATTGTTCATCGTGCTTATATACTGTGCACGCATATATCACGTGTTCCGGTTGTTTATATTATCGCCCGCTTCTCACCTCTTATGATGGACTCGGACGATCTCTCGTCCCAGCAAGGACAGAGTAACACGAAGACTGATTCTGGAAAGGATATACATAAGGCGGCTGTCGACCAAGTCTTGATTCATGACGTAATGGATACTTAATCTTTATCATCCTATGAGGAGCTATTCGCTGATTTGGGAAGTATACAGCCAACTGCTTCTACCTCTGGTATTCCGATAAATCTATCTGTTGCTGATATCAAATGTGATCCTTCTCTGATTAAGACGATCGAAAGATTTAGGAAAAGGTTAAGCACTCCTAATATTAATCCTTACAGTGGTGCTATCAAGAAAGCTTCTTCTGGCCCATGTATTACGTCTGATATCAGAGTTAATTCTCCGATCTCTAAAAGAAAGCTGGCTAATATAAAAAACCTCGTTCGAGTGATAATCTAAATCTCATTGTTTCTTCCTTACCTTTCCCTAAAATTCCTCATTCCCTTATTCCCATCCCTGTTTTATCCTCCTCAGTTAAGAGTGATCTGAAGACTTCCTTTGATTCCGTTCTTGACCCTCCTCTTGCCCCTATTCTCCTTCCCAACGCTCCTCTGTCTTCTTTGAATGACAATTCCCCTGTCAATATTTCGAGTGTGTCATTTCCCAGCACTGAGGATAACCGCTATAAACATGGTAGTAACGGCCCTTTCGTCGTATTTATTCAGAAGTTTTCCGTTAACTTTACTCACTCAAATTCTGTTAGTGTCCTGAAATTGGCTAAGGCACTTTTTGATATATTAGGTGCGCAACTAAGTTCCCGCTATTTGTCAATAGATGGCTCCAGCAGTAAGTGCTGGTCGATTTTGACATATCCAAAACGTCATGAACCAAGCTTAGACATATGGTAAACAAACCGCTTTGACACGTTAGTGATTTTGTTTTGGCGTCATATACTTTTGGTTGTGTGAAAATGTCTGATTTTGTGCCAAATAATCGTCATTTGCGGGAAGTGTTGTTTTTCTTATTTCATTCAAAGAAAATGGCAGCTGAAGCGCATCGAGAGCTCCAAAAATTTATGGAGATGCTGCTCTAAGTGAAACAACGTGCCGTGATTGGTTTCGTCGCTTCAAAGGCGGTGATTTCGATGTTGACGACCGTCCGCGTGAAGGAAGGCCAAAAACCTTCGAAGACGCTGAATTGGAGGCATTGCTCGATGAGGATCCGTGCCAAACGCAAGAACAGCTTGCTTCAGCATTAGGAGTTACCCGCCAAGCCATTTCCAAGCGATTGCATGCGTTGGGAATGATTCAAAAGCAAGGAACTTGGGTTCCTTATGATTTGAAGCCAAGGGACGTTGAGCGTCGTTTTTTCGCCTGTAAACAACTGCTCCAGCGGCAAAAAAAGTAAGGGTTTTCTTCATCGCATCGTGATAGGTGATGAAAAATGGATTCATTACAGCAACCCAAAGAAAAGAAAGTTATGGGGACTGCCCGGTCATGCTTCTACGTCGTCGGCTCGGCCGAATATTCACGCTGCGAAGGTTATGCTATGTATTTGGTGGGACCAGGTCGGTGTTATTTATTATGAGCTGTTGAAACCGAACGAAACCATCACTGGGGAACGGTATCGAATTCAATTGATGCGATTGAGCCGAGCACTGCGCAAAAAACGGCCACAATACGAGCAGAGGCACGAAAAAGTGATTCTACTGCATGACAACGCTCGGCCTCATGTTGCCAAACCCGTTAAAACCTACTTGGAA